GTCCTGTGTGTTCGTTGATTACACAGGACCCAATGTCCTGTGTGGTCCAAAAAACTTTCGCGTAGACTGGACATCAGTGTTACTTGGTTGTTTTATTTAAAAAAGTCCACGCAAAAAAAAAAAGAATTAAAAATATGCCTACCAGTACCTACCGGAACTCTAAATTTTTCAAGCATGAACATGATAAAAGTGGAAACAAAGCAGGTTTAACCAATCATTTTCCTTGGCTTTACTTACTAGATTATTTTTTTTGATAATTGGCTAGATTTCACAATTAGTAAGCAAGTAAATTGTATTTTATACATGTAGTGATATATTACAGTATGAAGAAAAACATAAAAATACATGTAATCAGTCAATCAGACCTATGTGTCACTTTTAGACAAATACATGTATATCATAGTTGATACCCATGACAAGTTTTAGATAAAGTTGAAAGTACCATATGTAGTGATGTAAAGATTAATCGATTAAATCAATTATCTAATCGAAATGGTCCCCGATTATAGATAATCGATTACTCAAAATATTAGTTAAATGCAAATTATTCCTTTAATTTTTGATTCATTCTTCTTTGAATTTAACTAAATCCTAAATAATAATCTAATAAATGAATCCAATGATACAAACTATTTCAAAAATGTATTTTGGAAATCACTCCAGAATTTCTAAACAATTTATTCTACATTTGAAATTGAAGAAATATAATATTTGAAATTAATCAATTTTTTTTTTCGATTATAGTGCATCCCATTATTCCAATAATCAATTATGAAAAAAATCCCAATTTCCCATCACTAACCATATGCAAGAATTGTAACTGTTTGATGAATACTAACTGGTATATTAGGTTTGACATTAAATATTATGAATTATACATAAATACAAACATACTTAATTATTGTTTATTTATAGTATCATAGGGACATACAACTTGTATGTTTCATAGTTATTAACTTATTAAACATTTCATGTTTGAAATAAAGCCAACAGGTTTAGGTATGTGAAATCACTAACTGCCCATATACATGTAACAAGTTTATTGATGCAGACCTCTAGTAAAAAAAAAAAGGGGGGGGGGGTGCAACTGACATCTTAATGAAAATTTACTCTATAGCCAAATACTATTCTCAGAAAAAAGTTAGGAGGACAGACCCCCACCCCCCCAACACACACAACCATTCTGTAGGCCTGTATTGACTAGATCAGGTGGACAAGATCATTTGATTGTTATTAAAATGAAAATTATTTTATCACCTGCACTAATAACTAAAACAAGATTATTGTTTCTTACAGAGAGCGGGAACATCATGATCATATAAGCAATGAGACGAGAAAAGTTTTCAACTTTTTCCACAAAGAACAATCAATAAACAGGCAGACAAAATTCCAGGTCTAAAAATAAATGGAATGAAGGTGTACAATAACAAGTGAACATAGAAGTTTCTCTTGTAACAATCAGAATTAGACTAAAGTTTTGAGTAACGACAAGAAAAGTGTAGTCACTGGATACACTATCATTTCCTATGATGTCCCAGTATTAATCGAATGCAGTTTAAAACTGGCATTGCCAACAAATTCGATATGGAGTTATTGATGGAAGATGTGAATTGAAAACTGTGTGTGACTCGTTATAAAAAGTTAAGTGGATTCTATCTCAGAATGCAGACTTTTTCAGTTGAAAGACCCCAGAGTTTTATATGAAAAGAGTCATATATCTTCAGTCTGTTTGAAATGTCCATGACATCAGTTGTGGATACATTATTGGTGTTATCAGAATTTGCCATGTCTGTAGCATCATTTTTAGATACAATGTCAGTGTTTGGTACTAAATGTAATAAGTTTTCATTAATTCAAATTTGGTCAAATTACAAATTATTTTTCTTTTTTTTTTTTAATTGTAGATAGAGCAAATAAGTTTTCAATATGTTAATGTATTTTGATTCTCATGAATTTTGCAATATTAAATATATTTCATTATAAAAATTATTTTATTACCTTATCATTGTATGAACAGATGCTAAATACACTGCATGTTAAAAAAAAGAGTAGAACCTGGGAAATTCATGTTCCTTATTTTTAACAAGGTTTTCCATTGGAAAAATGATGAAAATGGCACACAAGGACTGCTAATGACCCAAATGCGTGCCATGACCTTGACTCAAGATCCTTTGATCAAGTTAAATGTCATTTTAAGAAAAACATTGAATTCCTGTATTTTGTATGGAGAACATGAGATGCTCATACTGATCGTAAATATTGCATATAACCTAAGGTTACATGTATGTATTGAGTAACTGACCTTGACTCAAGGTCATTCCAGCAAGTTCAAGGCTTCTGGCAGAAAAGGTGTGTTATTTGTACCTGGTCTATTACTCTCAAATGGAGGCTAATTGGTAGTTGATACTTGACACAAAAATTGCTTATGACTCAAATCTGTGTCATAATCTGACCCAATGTCATGAATGTATAATCTCCTACAACTTTCTTGTATTAATAA